AGCCCTGGTCCCCGCCGCCACGCGCGGGCACTGTCACCCTGCCCTGCCGCAGCCCGCTACTCGCCCGCCAGGCCAACGGGATCCCACACATCCAGGCGCCCCGCGCTGCGGCCGCCGGGCCTTGGAGCCGCACCTCTGCCCTCGCACGAAGGATGACGAGGATCCAGCTGTCAGCCGCGGCGCCGCTGCCCACGCACCGCGCACACCTCCCCGCGCCACAGCGACAGGAGCCGGGACGCCAGGGGCACACCCCCCAGCCTGTGCAACAGAAGACCAGGAGAGAAGCCAGCACGAGGGCTGCTCAGTGCTGACCTGGAGGACGCTGAAACATACTGAGACATCCCAGCTGTACCCTCCTCTCAGTGTGTAAATTCACCCCGTGAAGATGCGTTGGCTTTCTTTGACTACAGTAAACTTTCTAACAAAAGTGTACCTCCCAGGGTACAGCCCGAAGGCCCCACGTGTACTCCCCCAGGGTGCAGCCCCTGCCCCCAAGTGTACCCCCCAGGGTGCAGCCCCTGGCCCCAGGTGTACTTCCCAGGGTACAGCTCAGGGCCCGAGGTATACATTCCAGGGTGTAGCTCCTGACCCAGGTGTACCTCCCAGGGTACAGCTCAGGGCCCAGGTGTACCCCCCCAGGGTGCAGCCCCTGGCCCCAGGTATACCTCCCAGGGTGCAGCTCCTGGCCCCAGGTATACCTCCCAGGGTGCAGCTCCTGGCCCCAGGTATACCTCCCAGGGTGCAGCTCCTGGCCCCAGGTGTACTTCCCAGGGTACAGCTCAGGGCCCGAGGTGTACCACCCAGGGTGCAGCCCCTGGCCCCCGGTGTACCTCCCAGGGTGCAGCCCCTGGCCCCCCACCCCCGGTGTACCTCCCAGAGTGCAGCTCAGGGCCCCAGGTGTACCTCCCAGGCTGCAGCCCCTGGCCCCAGGTATACCTCCCAGGGTGCAGCCCCTGGCCCCAGGTGTACCTCCCAGGGTGCAGCTCAGGACCCCAGGTGTACCACGCAGGGTGTAGCCCTGGCCCCAGATGTACCTCCCAGGGTGCAGCCCCTGGCCCCAGGTGTACCTCCCAGGGGGCAGCCCCTGGC